GGTGGTTCCTATACTCTTTTCTCTGTGTTCTCTTGAAAACTGTAAATTCAGAACTATAGGCAAGCTCCTGCTTGAGCCCTTAGGACTTGGGACCCCTGGAAATGGACCTTCTCTTCTTTCCCGGAGTGGCAGAACTGGGGGCTTTCCTGGGGAGAGTGGTCTAAATCTGATTTAAGCCTATTAGACTTGAAATTTTTGAGGGTCCACAGATCAACATTTAGCACCCTCAAAATGTTTTTTTTCATTTGATTTTTTTTTTTTTTTTTTTTACTAATGCTGGGCGCTATTTTATTTCCCAAGAATATCTAGTTTAGTTTTAACAACATGGGTTTTTGCAAGTCTGTCTCAGTGTTTTAAAAAATTAGTCCATTAACAAATGATCAAAACCACTGTCTTATTTATGAATTGGCCCTAAGTTGTTGCCTTTCTATTTTTTTGAAATGCTAGCAGTGTTCGAACAACTGAATTAGTGGACCACTGCAGTTTCAAGAAATGACATCTGGCAGTATTTAAATATGCCTCAGTTTTCCTTTTTGCTTTTTAAAAAGAGTGGAATCACTACTTTTTCCCCCTAATTGCTCACATTGCTCTGTTTCTAATATGGATCTTAGTCATTTATTCTGTAAACATATAAAACACTCCTATATGGCAATAACTGTGCTAAATGTTGTCATCGAACACTGTAGTCACCTCTGTTACCACAAAAACCTCCTGGTTGTCAAACATGTATCCAGAGATACCATCATTTTAATGAACACTTTCAACATATTTAATGGCTATTAATAAGACACTATTATTAATAGTGACCCACTATACTATTTATCACAGTGACCCACTATACTATTTATCACACTCCCATTGGTTTTAGCTACTCTGTGAGGCTCACATTATGGTCCCAGTACACTTTGTTAGGAAAACAGCCATGTTGACTGAGCTCCTTTGTTTTGTTAAGCTTTTCAAGAAGCAAACAATGTGGTGTGCTTTGGGAAATTTGAAAATTATAAGTGGAATAAAAAGACATGGGCCCTGCCTAGGAATGAAATACAGTCTGGTTGGTGAGATGAAAAAGGAATCATTAGAGGAGACTGTAATCCAGCATTGGGTGGTATGGTATGAACTGTAAACTCTACAGGGGTTTTGAGAATGGCCAGCCGATTGGGATTTGCAGGGAAAAAAAGCAACAAAAGAGGAAAGGCTTGGGGGAAAAGAAAAGAATCTAACAAATGACTGGATACGTCGGTAAAGAAAAACTGACAACTGGATTCTAACCTCTGTTCCTGATAGGCTAAGTGAATCTCAGAGGAAAAAGAGATCAAAAAACAAGGAGAGCAAAGTGGAGCAGTAGATAACAAAAAGGCAACACTAAATGGAAAATGAATGACTCAGCCCATCCTGTGTAGGTGATGTCGTGACATGGATTTGTTAAAATGGCTCTAACTCTGTGTGTCAAATGCATACATGAGCCCAATCACAACACCCCATGCTTTTAGTCACAGGCCAAGCTGTGGATTTGCACCCTAATGACACCTGTTGTGACCCTTAGTCCTTACCCACTTGTTTGGCACAGCACACCTCTTCTAATAGGCTCAGGTGATTTCTACCACAGACAAAGCCAATGAAATTTTTTCATGTAATTGGCAAGATCTGTGCATGTCTTTGAGTCAGTTTGTATATAATAATCAATGAGACTGGGCTCAGTTGCACTGTGTCTTGAAAGGTGAGCAGGATTTGGATAGTAGGAAAAGGTGAGGGTCTTCCAGACACAGGGAACAGTGCAGGTAAATACGGAGTGATGGGAAAGTGAAAGGCAGATTTCAGAGCCAGTGCATATGCCAGTTTGACTGGAGAAGTAACAGGATCCTGTGCAAACTGCTCATCACCTTCCGCATGCGGGAGATGCCGACAGAATTACATGCAGGGTTCCTGCCGTCTAAGGCAAGCCTTGCTGAAGCAGTTTCTCATGTAACAGATAAGCCAGCACGATGCCAGAAAACTAAGTTCCTCAAAATCATAAATATTAACATCGCTCATATTAACCTTTCTGTAAGATTTCACAGAATGAATAGGTGTTATTTTATTTGGTCTCTGTAGTCATCCGTTGACATGGGCTGCTTAGCTTTCTTTGCTAGCATTAGACAAAGGCAAAAACCTGGAGACGGGACTATGTAAATTTTTCTGTCTGCAGTCAGTCTCACCATTGGAACTCCCCTAGCTTCTACTCGCAGACTCCTCCGCTTATATCTCCATGGGCATGTCTGGGTGATTGAATTTAGAAAATAAAGGGGGAAATGACCTTGGAAACCCCAATCTTAGTCAAGACAGGCTAGGGAAGTCTCCAGCCCCTTTTGAATAAAGCATCCCATATTTTCAATGTAACCTTGAGCCCAGATCATCAACCTTGTAGGTCAGAGGGTGGAAAAGAAAAAGGTCAAAGGAGTTGTTTGTGTGTATGTGTGTGTGGAGGCGGGGAGGTGCTGTAATAATACATTCTTGATTGAGCCCAAATCAGTACTCCCAAATGGCTCTTAAATTTCCATTTAAAAGGTTTAAAGATTGTATTCACACAGTGTTTGTTACCTGCCTTACCTTTGGCAAATGACTGTCTGCCACTTGTGACTTTGTGAACCTCTCTTCCAGCATTAGCTTCATTAGTCAAGATGTACCGATGTTGGAAGAATTTTAAATGGGCTCTCTGTGTTGTTTCTGAATGGGCACTACATGCAACTAATTATCCTACAGAAATTTTAATTCTTCTTGAGTTAGCCCACTTTTGTGAGCAGTAAGCACTGTCAGACTTAATTCCTCATATCCTGCTTCTACTGAGTATTCAGGCCAAGTGGAATAGATATCTACTTAGTTTGCTTTTTTATTAGAACTTCTTGGTCATTCACACACCTTGAGAGAGACTCATTTTCTCTAGAGTGTAACAACTGCAATCAGTTTTTTGCTGGTCCATGGACAATAAATGAACTTTCCCTCCTCGGGCTAATTGTTCACATAAGGTTCTTGTGAGGTGGTTTGTTTCCTTAGGATGACAGAGGCCGGGAGTGGAACAAAATGTATCTGAGTAGTGTCCCAGATATAGTTGCTTGATGTTTCAAGAATTTTTTAAAAAGGGGGGATATAAAATATTCAGTTTGAATTTGGTAAGCTTCATTTATCTTAGCCCATATATACTGTGTCCCCTTAAATCTCAGCCTGCAGGCATCTTTTGAACAAGAACTCTAGCACAAAAATAAAACAAGAGATGTGCATTTCAACGTGAACTGGAATCATCTCCTTACCCAAATCTCCCTTACGTGCACACATCCCTATCTCTGTAAAACTAGGAAAAATAACTCACACCATTATTGCTGTCTGATGTCACCTTTAAATGTGAGACACCAGCACCAACTCCATCCCAGGGTCTCCCTGTGCCAAATGCACAGCATGGAGCTTCATTTATTTGAGTCTCTAGAAGAAAACTTTAGCCATCTTATAAAAGCTTGAAGGCTTTTACACCAATAGTTCAATAGTGCAGTAAGCTAACAAAATTGTTTTCAACCGCTGCCTTGTCTCTATGGTGAATCTAACATAGGACACTCTGCTACTGAGAACTGTTACATAATGCTTTATGGACTTAAATATTATACTCTGTCTGTCCAACATACAAAAGCCTAAAATGTTGAAGCAGAGCCTATGTGGAAATCTTTGATTCTAGGTTTAGAAAAGTCACTTCCAGAAAGAATTATAGTAGTAACTGGGCAATTAGGACACCACTTAGTTTCACCATAATATTTTATCCTTCTCAAAGTGCTTTCTTTCATTGGCTCTGTGAGTTTAACAACATTTTGCCCTATATAGTAGGTAGGATATGTGTTAGGAAATTAAATGCTGAGCAGTTAAATGTCTTATCCAAAGTCCTACAGTTAATTTATAAGAAAAGTCAGCCTGAAACCCAGATTCTCTGATGTGACCCTAGAGTCACTATTCTCTCTCCTTTCCCTAATGTGGTCCATTGTGAAGGAAAATAAGACAAAGTCTTAGGGGTTTCTGTTTCCTTAAAACCCCTAAGATGGTAGTATTGAAAGAGATCACAAGATCATAACACAAAACTGTGTTGACAGAGTAAATTAGATTTGAGGGGATACTGAACTATTCAGTGAAGCTATCTACATGATCAAATTCATTTGCAGTTAATTTGATCCATTGTCTTTGCTCTATTTGCTCTTGGTTGTCAGCTCCATTTTCCCCATACTGTAATCATCACTAATTGAAGGAGGACTATACTTCTCTTGAAGGTCTTTAAGGAGATTACCATTCCTCTTTTCTGGACTCATTTTTAGAGAAATTTATATGCAGCTCTTGACCTCGTGGCAAGCTTTATTTGACTCAGTTCGGATGTGCTTCAATATAAATGTGTAGTAATTTAGTCTATAATTCAGCAAGATTTATTGGACATCTGTGTTCACATCTACCAGATTCATTGAGATATAAAAATGAAATCCAGTTCCTACCCTCAAGGAACTTATTGTCTGAACAGAGTATGGTTAGAGAATTTACATTTTATTTTTTAATTATTTTTTAAATTTTATATATTTTTACATAATTTTTCATTTTTGCACAATATATGCATTTTCATCTTGGTTATAGTCCCCATACAATTCCCACCCCCCCTTGTTTTGATCCTACTCTCTCCTCCCCTCCCCCAACCATATTGTGTCTCTGGTTAATTGTTGCTTGTTGGTTTTGATTTTTACTTTATTATAATTAGTCTTTTTCCTGGTCCCTTATTTAGGTTTGCTAAAGAATTCACATTTTAAAAAGCAAACAACTTCTTTAGCTGGAAAACAGAGACCAAAATGAACTAGAGTTTTCAGGGAAGGCTTCCTGGAAGAGAAACAACTTGTCGAAGCCTGGAAAGATTAATGAGATTGGATTTGGTGAATGTAGTGATCAAGCCAAGCTAACACGTATATACAGAGGGGAAAAAACCACACATGATCTCAATGGCTTTACAAAATAGTGTATTTCTTGTTCACATCACAGTCCAATATGGGTTTCCTGGTGAAAGTGGAAGGCATCTCTGCTCCAAGTGGTATCTCAGGGGACCAGGCTCCTTCCATCCAGTGGCTTTTCAATCGCTAAGACCTTGGAGTCTTCTACTGGATACTCTGCTTCCAGCCATCCTACCTGGGAATTGGGTGAACCACAAAGCAGCACAGTAGAGCTTTTGTTAGGGACCAGGCTTAGCTGTAGCATATATCACTTCTGCCCACACCTAACTGCAGAGGAGGCTGGGAATGTAATGTAGCTCTATTCTCAGAAAGAAAAATAAATAGGATGACCTGAATACAGAGCACTGTCTCTGCTATACTAAAGAGGGAGGGCTTTCTGAAGCAATGATGAGGAAGATAAGGGTAGCAGAGCAAGAGCAAAGTTGAAGTCAGCTTGGACACCCACTTTTCTGGTGTGATTTGACTAAATTTGATGAATTTGTCATACTCTAGTTGTGATCCTGGTAGGAACAAGGAGAATCACAACTGTATTTGATTATCTTTGGTTTCACAGTACTTGTACCAGGCAGGAGTTTTTTAAAATAGACTTTATTTGTTAGAGCAGTTTCAGGTTAACAGATAAATTAAGTAGGATCTTCATACACTTAAACTATCCTGTATGATACTCTAGTGGTGGAACATGTCATTATATATTTGTCCAAACCCACAGAACATGCAACACCAAGAGTGACCCCTAAGACAAACTGTGCATGGTACAGTTGCAAAAAAATATACCACTATGGTGCAGAATGTTGATCCTGAGGGAGGCTGTGTGTGTGTTGGGGGTGGGGGCAGGGGATATATGGGAAATCTCTGTACCGAGACATAACTTGCAAAGGCAATACTATACTGGTTAACAGATTATTCTCAGTTCATGGATCTTCTCTGCTCACAGCATCCTCTTCACTGATGATATATTCCCCCTGATCATCATCTAAGAAGCATCATAAATAGGCTACTTGGGGAATAAATCCAGTTCAAAGATATAACTCATTTGGTACATGTTCAGTCTTTATTTTTTTTAAATGATTGAATGCATTTAGATGGGACATGTTTTTTTAGTTAACCTTCATTTCCACTAGAACCTATATAGTATAATACCTCACATAACTTACAAATGTGCCACCTGCCTGACCCCTCTATGCATTTGACCTTTGTTTCTTGGACCTCCTTTTCATGTGGCAGATCATACAATAATAGTCAAGTTACCAAAATCCCCATGACATGAAGACTCTCACAAAACTCACCAGCTTTGTGGGGGTGGAGCCACAGGCTATCTTTGAAGAATAATTCAGAAGGGGCCCAAGACATCTGCAGGAATATGAAAATTATTAACAATTGGGGGGAAGAGCCATGGATCATTTTCACAATCTAACAAAAGCAATGGACCATGACAATCCTCATACACAAAACATTTTGCAGATAATTTCATGGAGTTTCTGAACCCTCTGAAACCAGTCTGGACACCACTCCTGTGGTAAAGTGATTGATAAGCCCATTTACACTATATGGGATAACAATTATGAGAGTGGACATTGAATTCAGACAAACATGAGCTAAATCTAGCATTTTCTACCTATGTGACCTAACCTCTAAACCTCTATTTTCTCTTCTTTTTTTAGAAAAATAGCATTAATAATACCCGCTCCTCATGGCTGCTATGAGGATTAAATGAGACAAGGTATATAAAGAAGCCAACACAGGGCCAGAAATATCGTAGTATTCTCAGCAAATGAAAATGGTTATTATTTAGTGACATTATTCATCCTTCATGGGTTCTCAGTGGTGCTTATCTGGATTTCCCACTCGGTTCATCAGAAATTCAACATAGTCCTTCGGATCTCTGATTACATGTTACTTACTCTGAAAAATCACTTGGGAACTTCATTTCCTCAACCCATCCCCCAAAGAGGTTGCTCACGTGGCACTCTGGATTTGCCTAGTTATTTACCCACCATTTTCAGAACTCCTCAAGGACAATGCCGTGTCTGCTTTATACACTTCTGTGCCCACAGGTGCCTAGCACAGTGCTTGCACATAAAAGGCACAAAACAAATATTAAATAAATTAATTAATAAGTAAAGGGGAAAACAGCTTCTTCCTTGAAATTTTTTAGAAAAATATTGATTGGCAGAGTTAGAAGAGCTGTTGATTCACCTTGCCTTGCCCTGAAGGCTAAAGCTTTGACATCAGAAGGAGCTGAGGAGAAGACAAATGCTAAAAACTGATCTTACCTGTCTCTCCCTCAATTAGAATTCTTCGTTAATTAGCTGACAAATCTATTGTTCTTTATGATATCTCTGAGTACCTTCTGAGTCTTGAAAGAAAGGACTTTCCAGTCAGTAGAATATTAACTTACATTTTAAATTTGTATCTAAATTCTCTGGAGATTGACCTTAATTGCTTGGAATTTACTGTAACTTTGAAATAAACAGGATATCTGATTAAATAGCACACTAGGCATGCACAATACAGTGATCTTATTAGTATGTCTTCTCGGAGAAATGCTGTTCTCATTGTTAACCACACAGTGAAATCATCTCAACTGGTCATTAGGTTCTACCTCCTTTCAAATCCACCTAAACACAGGTATTTGTAATCCCTCCAAGTTCTAGAACCTCCATTGAGTAGCTACCTAGCAAGAGAATTTAACAGGATTATTGTTTAGAAATAAGTTGGCCTTCCTAATCCTAGTGGGTAATTAAATGGACAGCAGTCAGATTGGTTGGAGAATGGATTTTTCTGCCTGGTGGGGAATTTCCATATAGACTACACATGATGCCAATTTTCAGAGAATTGAAATGCACATAAACAAAGCAAAATATTTTAACCTCTTTGATTTAAAGGGCATTTTATCACCAACTGGCTAATGTCAGTTACACAATTCAGCACTCTCAGTGTTAGAGATTGAGCTGACGCCATATTGCACTCAGGACATTCCCTGAAAGCTTATTTTAACCATTTATCTCTGCCTCATAAAATTAAAGAGCAGATTGTGGTAGGGAAAAAACAGTATTTCAGTTTTCTTGTTGCTAGGGCTGAAGATGAAGAGAATTTTATGACTATCTTGCAAAGCTTGTATTCTGAAAGAGGGTTCATTTTTAATATAGAAATAAAAATGTAGGTGGCCTCAACAGCTGTAATTGTTATAAATTAAATACAGAGATACCTTCTGCCAACATTTATAATTGGCATTCTGTATAGCCAAAAACTCTAATCTTCCACTGTTACCTAATTTGGGATTTTAGCTACTATTTCTAGGCTGTTAACCTCCACATCTGGACTCCCTGTGATCCCACATCAGGCTGTACCTGCTGCTTCAGTATTGATCAGCAGTGCCCTCTTCCCCAACAGGTGATAAATTTATTAGTAACTATTCAGGCTGCCCCAGCTTTAGGCAATTGTCTTCTTGAGAATTATAGTATTTATTCATTGGAGGATAATAAGACAAGGGAAGAGTCAAATCATTTTGCTTGTAATTTGCAGCTGTTTCATATGGAGCTATGCTTCACAGAGAAAAGAGCCTGCAGTTCAGATATTACATAATGTCCCCTACTTTGCATAAGACATTGTGAATAATTTTTTTTACAAGATGCACTTTATTTATGAGTAGGCCCCTCCATAGAAATAGCTTGTTAGAGCTTAATGCTGATGAATAGAGACAGCACCATTCACACTTTCAGGTTATGGTCTGTCAATGCTTTCATTATATGCACTAATTTACAAGGATTTATTTATTTTCTCACAAATGTAAAAATGTGCTTAAAGCTAAACATGCTGCTTGGGCATCTGAGCCCAATGTTTTCCTTGGTGGAGGTGGTGACACAAGCTGTTGTGTGTTCTTCCCACCTCCACCCCCAAACCACCCCACATCACTGCCTAACCTTGTGCTTCTATCAAAGAGATATATATATATATATATATATATATATATATATATATATATATATATATATTTGCTTGCTTTAAAAATGAATACTGGTTAAAATTTGGAGCCCTGGAAATGGTTTTCTTAATGCAATTTCATTCCTTTCTTAATTTCTTTCTCATCCAAAGACTGTGCTTTCAATTGTGTTTTTGATGCCAATGAAAATGCTGTCTGTAATGACTCAATGGACTTGACCACTGGAACAAATTATGCCCACAACATTGGGTACCAAGTTGTGGAGATCTGGGTACAATAATATAAAAATATGAAAGTCAATTGAATCTGTGGGTATTCCCAGCCCCAGATGGCTTTATGTGATCTGAAGTCACTCACATCCCCATCTCTGAAGAATGAAGCTTAAAATATACTGGGCATGTGCCACCTCCTCCCACTGAGTCTACCAGGCAGTAATAGATCCTACTGCATCATCAACATCCATGGGCTATAACAATAATCCTTATGGGAGGGAAGTCCCCTCCTCACTCAAGAAATGGCAAAAATTACTCTGCTTTTCCAGCCTGAGGTTTCCAATTTGGTTTTTTAACCCCAGTGAAAATTGAATGTCCCTCAAACCTCACCAGTTAAAGAGGTAGTAGAGCTAGTTGCTTGAGAAACTTGTCTGTGTGTGTATGTTGGTTGGAGAAGGAAAACGGAGGAAACAAAAATATGTACATATAAGATATGCCTCGTTGCATTAATAAAGCACCTATCACATAGTCACTCAAAGCCCTTTCAACTATTTCTTTTCAACTCCAAACATAAATGCAATCCAATCAAATTTAATTAAAGAGTCTCAAGGAAAGAAGTCTGTTTGGACCATGATAAAAGGAAAATTCTACACAAATATATGAAAGGAGAATATCCTCTAAACTGTCAGCCAAATCAGCCTGAAGACCAATAGTAAGTATTTAATCAGCCTCATCTGTAGAGCTCAGCTGACATGAACAGAGAGGATTTCACATTGTGTAGAAGTTCACAAAAATTAAAAATGTGAAAACCATGTAAATGGTTTTCCAGGATTACCCTCGCTGAATCAGTCCAGACTTTGTCCTCTGATGGGGATAAGGATGTGGTAGCTAAGGAACAGTATAGTCCTCCCTGGTGTCAGCATAAAAAATGTAAATATTTCCCCAAATATGCTAGTTTCTAGAGGAATGTATTTACTTCTCTATACCTATTGTGAATCAGCTTCCATTTTCAGAGGAATTAGATTGTCTGCATTTACCACCTCCAAATTTGACCGACACTCCCATTTTATTTTTAAGATCTTTAATTTACTAAAGTTTCAGGATATTCCTCTTAGTTTGCGTGTTACCTGGGTTCTTTATCCTTTGGCCCTCACAGAATCTAGCACAGTGATAATATGTGACTAGTAGATAATTTGTAGTTTCCAATCTTGAATCCCATGTGCTCTCAGCTTTTTACTTTCGAGACTCAAGCCTTGACTCTTCAGCCCATTCTCTTATGACAGGCAGAGTTTACATTTCAAACTCAATGCTATTTAGCATAGAGGTTATAGGAAGTGACCCCAAATCACAGACCTGCCACAAACCAGACCAAATTCTAAGCAGTCAAGCAATTGCATTTTCCAAAATGTAAACAAAAATAAAAAGTAGATGTGCCCCCCTTGGTTCACCCTCAGCCCAAATGGAGACAAAAGAAATACTCATGTGCCATCATCATTTCACCTGCTCCAATCGTAAAAATATTTTTAAAAGCCTCCTTAAAGCTCTTTATGCCTCTAAAATAGGGAGACTTAGTGACACAGAACCCTCCTTTGTTTAGACATGCTGACTTCCTTGGAGAAGTCACCAAAATATAGGTGACTTTACAAGCATTCAGGAAAAGTTAAAATGAATATGTAACTTTTATAGATGTTAAAGATTAATACTTCATGAGGAACATCAGGATTAATCAAAGTACACCATTAAGCTGAGTCTTAATATTAACCTCATGCCAATGAATTAGCTCATCTAAAAGCACTTTATTACAGTAGGTTTATAAACTCCCTTTAGATGAGTTCACTCTTTGCCAGGAAAATTACTCTGTGTATGTGTGCTTGTGTTCACATGTGTGTGCATGTGTTAAAAAGACTTGCTTGTTATCTCATATGTTCCTAACTTTAACATATATTCTGAGTTTCACAAGAACTGAATAACTGAGAGATGGGAAAAGACTAAAACATAGACTGGTTTTAAAGTAATGCTGTGTGGTTATTTTCAAGAACTCTAGTAAAAGCAGTTGAGTCACATGTTTTTTCATATGCGTCTGACATTTTCAACATATTATTTCATATGATACTTCTAACGAACTAGGCGTAGGGTCATCAACACTATGTTTGTCCAGCACTGTCCCAGTTTTAAAGCTGAAACCTGACTCAGTC